GTTGTTAATCAAAATTCAAATTTATACAAGTTCTAGTGAAAAACGTAAGTGCTCCAAAATCTATCTATTAGAAAATATTGTAAATTTGGCAGTTATCACCCTCAACTTAAAACGTTGTTTGTCCTCAAACAAAAGGCATTAATTAATAAAAAATATATGTATAAAATAAGGCTTATTCAATAAGTCAGATTCATGAAAAAAGAAAATCAAGAATATTTCCACTTTGCATGATTTCACAAATTTCATTTATAATGTTTCTCAACATGTGATTCCTACAAATAATGTTCACAACATTGAAATGAATGCAATTTCCATGAATTCATTGAGCAATGACATAAGTTAATGTTTTTAAATTAAGAGAAATACTTGATCATTCACACAAGTTATTTTAGAACTACATCAAGGTAATTGTCTCAATTCCATCTGGTGGATTTCAACAACTCAAACTAGGCACCTGTCTCAACAATTATCAGGATTGCATGATCAATCAAGTACTATAAGGGATTTTCAGGGTTGTAATATGTCGGGCTTCAAGGAAACTAGGATTTGTTTTGGATATTCAAAACACATTTCAAGTAAATAGAGCAATCAATTGAACTTATTAGAACAAAATTCTCTTGACTTCTTCTAACTTTGAGTTTTTAATCAACATATTTTTTTTGTATTTTCAATTTCTCAACCTCTTTCTTTTGCTCCAACTTTGTAGCTTTTCTCAATTTCTGCACAAAGATTGAGGCATTGTCAATCTAACTTTTTATTCCCCACAGAAACCAAAAGTCATTATCCCCCAACTTAGCATACATGCATACAACCCATATTCATGAATTCTTTCTTTAATTTAAAATGTGGGAAAAATATTCGTTTGCTTTTTGGCTTGGAATTATTCACAAGAATCAACAATTTTTAAATTTTTTTATAAGGTCAAAAAAGGGTACAATGGATATTCCTAATGAACAAAAATACCTTCATCATTTCCGATCAATCCAATGTAATCAATATAATCAAAGATTCAAATAAGTCCAATTGTGCAAAATAAATGGCGTGTCTCTCATGTCAACATATGTTTAAGGTTACACTTCCTTACATGGTCCAAGTATAGATTTCCCTTATTTCAAACATTTCACAAGTTATGCACAAGATAGTTTGTAATGGCATTTGATTTCATTTGCTAATTCCCCTGACCTATGGAAGACAACACACCATTGCACATGATAATGAACACCGAAACTTTTCGCCATGCACCATCATAAGTTCATCATTCCATTTTTTACCTTCCATTAATTCATCTTCAACATTACTATTAATATTTTCTATATAATAGATTTATTATTAATCTACATCTCATAAACATCCAAATACTTAAGCTTTCTACTAAAATTATTTTTTACAAGAATCTCCGAAGGAGATTCATATCATATATAGAGGACGGTTGGACAAAAAGGCAACGAGAATGAGATCAATAAGATGCTCAATTTCCCTCAGCAAATTCATGAAATGCTAAATAATTCTAAAACATAGGACAAATTCAATAGGATAATAAGTTAAAATAGGTTTGGGATAAACAATGTAAAAAGGTTATTTTGCAATCATAATCCTCTTCACCTCAACCTCTCCGGCTAGGAAATTGTATTTTCTCTCATCTCTATCACTATTTTCTTTTCACTCCTCCTTCCTTCATGCATTTCACATTCCTCTTATATTTCTCTCTTTTCTTTTATTCTCTTGCATGATCTTTTCTCAAATATTTATTTAATCTTCAACAACTCTTTTGGATTGAGGTTTGAGTTCAACTTTTGAAGTTCTGGTGCATAAAAGAGATTATTTATAAATCCATCATGGAAAACCTTAGTGTTGTATTTCCATGGCGGACCTAAAAGTATATACCTTGCTTCCATGGCTACCACATCATGCAAAATTTTGTCACAATACTTTCCTATAGACAAACACAACTCTACAGGCTCAGCAACTCAGACTTCCCCATTCTCAGTAAGCCACTACAACTTATATGGTCAATGATGTGGTTTAAAGTTCAACTTGGACAATAATCAAACACTTGCCACATTTATATAACTCCCGAATCTACTATCATAGAGTCAATTTTCCTATTCAATGGACACCTAGTGTGTAATATGATTTCTCTATGGGAATTCTTGACTCCCTATTAGCCTCCTAATCATTAGCAAATCTCATCCCATAGGATCTACTTCATTTTCTTCTTCATTCTCAAGTTCATCATTCCCACTAGTATTAGACTCACTAGTATGTTATTGCTCCCTCCATCTTGGCTTTGTCCTTCCCACATGGTGCATTATGGTTAGAGGAACTCCTCCTCATCAAACTTTTTCTCTTCAGTTGTACCTCCACTTGAGTTTGTTTGTGTACCAAGTACTCCATCTCCATGAATTCTTGCAACTTTACGACATCTCGGTTGTCGTTAGTTAACCTACTAAGGAACCTCACCATGATGGTTGTCCCCATCTACTTTGGCCTACATCATGGTAATTTCTATTACTTTGACATATCTCTTTCTCACAATTATCCTCATTTCCTCACAGGGGTCCACCATTGATTCCTCATTTTTTAGTCACTACTTCTATTTCATGTTCCACCACATCAACACATATTCCAAGAACTCTTATGCTACTAGCCTTACATTTTGTTCTTCAATGTACTTGGAACACACACACTATCTCTAGCTCACACTCCATGTATGCCTCCAGGACTTTCCTCCCTTGGAAGGATGGAATATTGAGCTTAACCCCTCCCACTCAATTATGCATTGACTCATCATATTGGTCACTTCTTCTCTTTTGCCTTTCTTCTCAAAATTTGTTATCGCTCCATTCAAATTCATTATGCGTTGGCCTGCTTCTTTTGCCTTTTCCATGTCAAATTTCTTTAGAAGTTCTTTGCAATACTTTGTTTGATGAACAAATATTCCATTGTCCATTTGCTTGATTTGTATAGTCCAAGAAAGAATGTAAGCTCTCCCATCATCAACATTTCAAATTCACTTTTCATCAACTCATAAAAGTTGTTGCATAAAACATCATTAGTAGCTTCAAATATGATATCATCACCATATATTTGCAATAATAAACCATATAAAGTCTTTTTAAGTTTCAAAACATGATTTGGAAATTTTGTAGTTTTCAGAACATGAAGATTGATCCACCTACACTTCCTTCTGAATAAAATCATTCAAAAACACACTTTTCACATTCGTTTGAAATAACTTGAAATGCATGATTGATGCAAAAGATAAAATCATTCTTATTGTCTCTAAACTTGCTACAGGAGCCTATGTTTCATCATAATCAATACATTCTTCTTGATTATATCCCTTAGCTACTAATCTAGCTTTATTTCTAATAATTAAGCGGAACTCATCTAACTTATTTCTAAAAACTCATTTAGTGCCTATTATAGGTCGATCATTGGGTCTAGGGACTAAATCCCAACCCTTACTTCCTTCAAATTGGTTTAGCTCTTCTTGCATAGCTAAAGACCAATGTTCATCATCAATGGCCTCTTCAATAGTCCTAGGTTCAATTTGTGAAAGAAATGCAAAGAAATTACAAATATCAGGCAAGGAATTTCGGGTTATCACTCCCTTAGATGTATCACCCATCACATTGTCGATTGGGTGATCCTTTATGGTTTTCTATGCTTGTGGCATCCCTGCAAGCTCTTGGTTTGTGTTTTTCTCCTCTATCATAACCTTTTCAAATTCTTGATCCTTTGAGTAAGCATCCCCATGTGCACCTGCAAGATCATCGCACATACCTTTCCGCTCCTCTTTTGCGGAAGATTCATCAAATATTATATGTATAGATTCTCCCACAACCATTGCTCTTTTATTATAGACTCGATACACTTTGCTATGATTAGAGTAACCTAGAAATATTCCTACATCCGCTTTTGAGTCAAATTTGCTTAAAAGATCTTTTCCATTATTCAAAATAAAACATTTGCATCCAAAATCATGAACATGACAAATATTTGGTTTTCGACCCTTATAAAGTTCATAGGGGGTTTTCTTAAGAATTGACCTTAATAAGATTCTATTCATAATATAGAAGGCAACATGTATCGCGTCTGTCTAAAAATACTTGGGAACAATACTTTCATTTAACATGATCCTTGCTAACTCCTCTAGAACTATGTTCTTTCTTTCAACAACTCCATTTTGCTTCGAAGTTTTAGGTGTAGAGTATTGATGTTCTATACCATGCTTATCAAAAAATTTGAAAATCTTGTGGTTTTCAAACACACCAGCATGGTCACTTATAATTTTTACTGTCTTTTCATTCATTTGGTTTTGGACTAATTTGGCAAGCCTCTTAAAAGATTTAAAAGTTTCACTTTTGAATGCAAGATACAAATTCCATGTGAATCTTGAGTAGTCATCTACAATTAAAAATGCATAGTAACTTCCACCAAAACTCATCACTTGAGATGGTCAAAACAAGTTCATATGAAGTAATTCTAATGACCTTGTAGTGGAAACCATATTTTTAGAAGCGTGAGAATTTTTTATTTGTTTGCACTTTCGGAAAGAAATCACAAATTTCTTCCAATTTAAATTTGAGTTTAGGTAAGCCAATTACTAGGTCCTTTGTAAGTGAAACTTTTAATATTATTATAAGTCAATCATGCATCATTATATTATTTTGATGTAGACAAAGAAGTTAAGGAGAAGACAAGGATAAGACAAAGCAAGCTTGAAGACATGTGCAATGTAAGGACCCAAATTCTACCATTGAAATTTTTTTCCTTATTTAATCCATTTTCATGCATTTAACGATAAATTATAATTACCGAGTGAATGAACTTATTTAAAAGATCTCACTTCCTTCCTCACACCCAATTCTATAAACCAAAAGTAACATACCAAATCAGATAGTAGAAAAACATAATTCGTATTAATGTAACTTAGTAACGACCGCATACAATTAGCTATGAGTTTCCAAAACACCCATAGCTACATATATTCCGAGTCACTAGTTTCCATGATTAATACCATGCACAACAATCATGTTCATAGTTACAAAATAGTTAGTTCAAGTACAACAATCATGTTCATAGTTACAAAATAGTTAGTTCAAGTACAACCAATGAGGTTACAAAAGAATGGATAAGAGACATCAAAATAAAAGTCTCTAAGCTCCTAATCAAAAACACTCATACTCCTTCCACCTATCTGCAATGAGATTAACATTGACAATACACCAAGAAACACAAAGGAGTAAGTCGTTAACTCAACAAATATCAATGTAAGTTAATCCACATTTAATAAGGTTAAATAAACGTTTTAAAATCAAGTTTACTTAAAAGCCAATTTCAACGTTCATACTTTTGAAAACCATGCTATATAACTTGAGTCAAAGTTTGCTACATTGCTTGAGCCAAAGCTTGCTACATTACTTGAGCCAAAGTCGCTAACCAATCATGGTCAGCTAAAAACGAGTTTTATTTCCATTGGCACTCCACCAATACATTTTCCGAGTTTTATTATTTTCCGAGTTTTATTTTCATTGGCACTCCACCAATACAAAAACAGTAAATGCACCCAACATCATTACAAACATATACATATATGCTTATAACTACAAAGTAATTTACGATTTATTTCATTTCTCCGAGTTTTATTTTCATTGGCACTCCACCAATACATAAACGGTAAATCTACTCATCGGTGTTACAAACATACTCATATATGCTTATAACAACTAAGTGATTTACGCTTCATTGCATTATTTCGAGTATTATTTTCATTGGCACTCCACCAATAAATAAATGGTAAATCAACTCCTCGTTGTTACAAACATACCCATATATGCTTATAACAACTAAGTGATTTACTATACAGTTTATTATCCACATCAGAAAATCCACACATTTTCTATCACAGTGCATAAGTTAAAGACTTATCCTTACCTCGGTGAGTGTTGGATTTGGGTTATGGGCAACTCCTCAAGTTCCACCGACACCGCCTCCAACTTTAGGATCTTTCCTCATCCCACCATATAACGCAGTGTTAGTCATTTATTCCAAATATCATATAAATAACTTATATTGCATTATTTAACCATGCGAGATATCTATCATATTTTCGATATTAGAAAGTAAATTCATCTTCTACCTCTAGCATTTTACCCATTTTCCATTTTAACCACATTTTTTCTTTAGGGTTTTGGGGTTTCCATGACTCAACTCACAAACCCTCTCTTTTCTTGAAATACTAGCTTTATACCAAGAGTTTACAAGATAAAATAACATAAAAATGAACCATAACTCAAAAGGGTGAGTTTCCATGGTTTCTAAAAATATTATTACTATGAAAGCTAAAAATATTATTATTTATGCACTTTCATATGATGAGTTCTTTAGGGTTTCTAAATGTTTGAGTGCCAAGGAAATGTAGGATACTTCTCCATTATATTCCTCACTTAGATTACATTGAGAGAAAAAAAACACTTCAACTTAATCAACCTTCCAGAATGGTTAATAACTCCAAAGTAATTACTAATATCTAATGATTCTAATCTTCATAAAAACACATGCTTATGCTTATGCACCAGGTTGAGTAGTTTACTTACAGTCTCAACCTTATGTTGTGAATCTAAGCATTTAAAATATAGATCCTCTTTTTGATGTTATCAATTTGGTATTATCTGTTTGAAGAAGCTAAGTATTCATATAATGGAAAAATGGAAATGATGGATCAAAGTACCACATTCATGAAACAACATACAAGCTAAGTATGCATATTAATTTAAAGCACATAACATAATCATTAATAATTGAATACTACATTCATTAGAAACAAAAATTCCAATAAGTTATATGACACATATACTCTACAAATTCTCTTACAGCAAAAAAGTAACAATGTTTAGTTTTCTAGACCCATTCAAAAATACATTTATGAGGTTCAAACATTTCGTCGAACACTTTATATGCATCTCATAAATATACAAAACCAACACAAGTTAGCAACATGTTTAAGAGTATATACAAATAAAATATAACGAAATGAGAAATGTCAGTAGGTCATCGTCATTAGTAATAGACAAGAGGAATTTATACAAAAGAGAAATGTTACCCGGAGTAATTAGGTCAAAATGACATTTGTGTAAAGTGCTTCTTGGTGACAAGTATCAAGTAGGATCGGTGGTGGAATGGTGCTTTGTTTTGTTTTTGAGAAGTTAGAGTTTATAAAGCTTTGCTTTGGAGAATAGATAATGTTTGTGAAACTTTGCTTTGGAGAAGTTAGGGTTTGTAGTGACTAGATGAAGGTTAAAAGAAATGGAGGGTTAAGAAACTAGAGAGAATGGAGAGGAGTGTTAGATTCAAAAACACGTGAATGGAGGGGAGTGTTAGATTCAAAAACACGTGAATGGAGGGGAGTGTTAAGAGAATTGGAAAACAACAAATTGGAAAGAAACTGAGAATAAATTGTATGGAGGGGAGTGTTTATTATTTTGTTTTTTATAAAGTAGTTCAGATTTTTAATTTCTTTGGACTAGATGCTATTGTCCATCTTTGGACTAGATTTTCAACGTCACTTTGCCTACGGTTTTAAAATCGTAGTCGAAAAAACCGTTGTCTAATGTACTTTATGACAACGGTTTTACAATCGTAGTATATAAATATAAAAAATCATCAACTATGACACCACTATAAAAATGTGGTCTAATGTAGTTTTCGGCAATGGTTTTAAAACCGTAGGTAATGGAAGCATTGTCATAGATAATAAATGTTGTACTGTGACTACCCTTAGTGAAACGAACAATTGTTTCCTTTAAGCTTGTATTTTCTTTTTCTAAAGATGTGCATTTTTCACAATCGGGCATCACATTAAGTTTTGAAGAGCAATCACAAGTAGAATTAGCATATATTATATCCAAGGTTTCATTTTGGAGTTTGAACTCATCAATAAATTTTTGCGTTTCAATAATCTTCTTTTCATGCACCAAAATCAACTTTTTTCTATCAACATTATTTTAGATAATTTGTTGAATTCTTTATGCAATTCAACATAAGCACTATATAGTATATAATATGTGGGAGAATTATCAAAATCACAATCGGAATTGCTTACCTCACTTAAGTCATCTTGCTCACTGTTTTTGCATGAATTGTAATTTTGAGACATTAAGCAAAGTTTGGCCGATTCTTAATTATCCGAAGTGTTTGGTATTGCTTTGTCTTCGGGCACATCCCATACAATATAAGCTTTATTGGTCTTGATGTTCCTTGATTCCTTCTTATAGTTCTCAACTCTTTTGATATAGGTGGTACATGTGAATTTTATGTGTCCTACCTTCCCACATTCATGGCAAGTGATTTTGTCCATTGACTACTTGTTCCTTTTTGTTGACTCTTTTTTGTCTCTTCTTTGAAACTTTATGATTCCTCGTTTCTTCCTTATAAATTTGCTGAATTTGTTCAGTAGGAGTGTCATGGTTTCATCATCAATATCGGACGAATCAGACTCTTCTTCCTTTGATTTCTCCTCTTATACTTTTGTATTTGAAGTTGTGGCCTTGGGGAATTCCTTTCTTCTTATCCAATTCTTCATGTAGAGTTAAGCGTCCAAGCTCCATTTCATGCTCTTGTAAATTTTCAAAAAGAGTTGCAAGTGAGATAGTGTCTAAATCCTTGGATTCTACAATTGCAGTCACTTTTGGTTGTCATGCCCTATCAATACATCTTAAAACTTTGTTAGTAAGCTCACCATTTGCAAACACTTTATCTAAAATAACAAGATGATTAATAATATGAGTAAAATGTTTTTTGCATATCATTTATAGATATCTTCATTTGGAAACATAAAGAATAGTTCATATTCATGAGTTAATGCATTTAACCTAACACGCTTAACCTCATATGTGCCTTCATGGGTTACATGTAAAGTATCTCACATTTCTTTGGCACTTTTGCATTGTGAAACTTTAAAGAATTCATCATAAGATAGTGCAGATGTGATGATGTTTTTAGCTCTTAAACTTTGTTGTACTTTTCCCTTTTCATCATCCATCCACAAACTCTTAGGTTTTTCTTTTGTTTCACCAACCACTAAATGTAGTGGTAGATGAGATTCATTTCGCACGGCCTCCCAAATGTCCGTCGCTATGGCCTCTATGAATATCCTCATCCTCAATTCCCAATAATCATAGATTTCTCCACTAAACACAAGACGACAATTGATTGAAGAACCTTCACCACCGAATGGATTTGTAAAGCTCATATTTCCTATTACTAGGATGACAAATTTAGCGATTAAGCTAGAATTTATTCAAACTAGCTTTATTGCCACCTGTTGGGTAGCAAGGGCTCTAACACACCTAGTGGGGGTGAATAGGTGGTTTGACTTACGATTAAAACTTTTTGGTTTTGAAAGTTATTCGCTGATTTTCCCTAATTTAATCCATTAATAGCGTATTTAATAAATTAAAAAAATTCTCTAGTTAATCGATTAATTCCTAAATTAAACGATTATCTAAATCACTTTCAAGAAAAATATTTAGTTCTTGACACAACGATATGTAATGATCAATATTTTATTTCATGCACTTTAACAATTCAAATTTTTGAAATTAATCATGCAGTGACGATTATGCAACAATCCTAAAATGAATTCAATTCAAGATAATCGAAATTGATAATTACACAAATGTAAAAGAGAAGGAATAATAGAATTTTACACGATCAATTTTATCGTGGTTCGATTTTCAACTACTGCAATCTACATCCAGTCTTCCCCTTATGGTGGGATATTTGCTTTCACTATGAAGATTTTGAATGTTCTTACAAACAATCTTCCACCGAGAACCACTTGGACCTAGTTTCTAATGGATAGCCTCATGACTTCTAGCTTAGGATTTCTCTATATTCTTCTCTCCTTCTATGGTGATACCTCAAACCTTAAGAGATGCAATACAAATCGAATCGTCTTCATTGTACAATGATTTTGCACTTTTTATTGTGCTAATATACACTCAATCCAGAATATCTAAACATTCTTGATAAATCTCACAATCTCAAAATATGATGATGAATGGTTATAAGATTCAAAGGTTCTTCAAAAACTTTTTATATGATGATGAATGCTTGAATTTCTCATCTCAAAGATTCATCAAAATTCTCTTGTTGTGTTCAAATACTCTAGCTTTTTTCTTCTTTAGAAACTCTCTTGTTTGATCTTGAAAATAATTGCAAATTCATGTCTATTACTCATGGGAATGGTTAGTTAAAATAATATTAAGTTTCAATCATTTTTCTAATAGTTTAATCGATCATGTTGACACGTAATCAATTATGTTGAAACTTAATCGATTAACGTTCTTTAAAAATCTAAGATTTCAAAATTGAAACTGACTTAATCGATTAACGAGTTTCCAATTTTGCAAAGACTTAATCGATTAACTATTACCTTAACTGATTAACTATTTTCTGAAAAACACTTAGTTTGTATGCTATCAACCTCTAACATGATTTACTAATGTATAATGCATGATTTTGAAATGACATAAGTTTAACATTGTTTAATGCATCAAAATCTTGAAGTCATGCATGAATGTTAATGCATCTAAATCATGTGTGAATGTTAATCTCATATGCATCGTAATCATCATTCTAATTTTTGAGATTTTAATTTGGTTCACCTTTCCTAGATTCTACTCATTCAAAACACTTAGGACCTAAGGAAATTAAAATTACTCCTAACCTTTTGTTGATCTTCTTGATGCTTGAACTTGAGTCTTCAATGTTATTGTTGATTTGGCTTGTCCAAATCATCATGCTTTGTCTTCACCAAAATCATGCAATGCACATTTGCATTCTAAAAAATAAGTATTTTTTTGTACTACCAAGGGTATCCCCTCACCCTTTGGGTAAGGAACTAATCCATTTCAAGGTGTGTGGTTGCCCTCCCAATAATTGTCGCTCACCAGGAATCAAACTCTTGACCATTTGGTCATTTTGGGGGTCGAGCAGGGCCTTACACCACTAGACCAACACTTTGTTTGTTCAAAAATAAGTACTTGATATGAAATAAGTATTTGTACTACCAAGAGTCCCCTCACCTTTTGTGGCAATGAATTAATCTCTTTCGAGGTGTGTGGTTGCAATTAAGGATGGAAATGAATACATTGATACACGGGTACCATCAAATAATACCCACAATGGGTCGGGTGTGGGTCCATGTTTTGGACCTGCGGGTAATTGAGAACCAAAAATTTAAGATCTGATGTAATGAGGTCAGGGTAATGAGGTACCCAGACCCGTGGGTACCCGGGCATATTAATCCATAATTATAATATCATATTAATTCATAATGTGATTGTTATGTTGTTAAACTGTGATGGTATGTTGTTAAGCAATGATATTATGATGTTAATTCATATGTATGATGTAATGTTATGTTAATTGAAGAGTTCTTACTAAATGAATTTTTCATCCTAATGTTGAAGTTGTTTTTAATGTTTGTTTGAGTAAATTGAGTTGTGTTTAACAGTTAAATTAAGTTGTGTTTAAAAATTTAAATTAAGTTTTATATTTTTTTCTCTTGTTGATTGTCTAAATAACATATAAGATCGTAGGAAAAAATAAACAAGTTCATAAATTACATGCAATCATTTTTAATATTTTTTAATATATGGGTACCCATGGATCCGTTGGCTACCGAAGGACCCATGGGAAGTATACTGTAACACCCTAAATTTTAAGTCTTCAAAATTATAGTAACAGTCCTGGGATCCTCGCTTGGGCGAAAGAGGCTCATCTGGGAGGGTGAAATCCTGGGCTATACTGGAGAATTCTCGCCTGGGCGAGAAATGGCATTTTGGGACTGTTGAGACTGTGAGATTCTCGCTTGAGCGAGAGGATCAGATCTGAGTTTTTAAAATGGGCGGGATTTTCTCGCTTGAGCGAGAATAAGCTCGCTTAAGCGAGAACCCGACGAGAGCATTAAATGAGAGAAACCCCAAATACATTTTTAGGTTAAGAATTGAAGAGAGGTGAGAGAAGAGAGCATTCCCAAGGTCTAGGAGCTTTGATTCTCGTTCAAGAGCTTGAGAAGAGGTAAAACTCTCTATTCTAACTCTCTTCTTCTCTTGAAAACCCATTTTTGGTATTATGGATCTCTTCTCAAAGTGAGAGTAACCATGGAAACTCACCCTTTGGAGTTATGGTTCATTTTATGTTATTTTATCTTGTAAACTCCTGGTATAAAGTTAGTATTTCAAGAAAGGAGAGAGTGTGTGGGGTTAGTCATGAAAACCCCAAAACCCTAAAGAGAAAATGTGGTTAAAATGGAAAATGGTTAAAATGCTATAGGTAGAAGATGAGTTTACTTTCTAATGTTAAAAATATGATGAATATCTT